TCGCCTTCTAGCTCTTGTTCCTGCATATTTACTACTTCAGGATATCTTTGCATCGATTGCTTTTAGGTATTACTTTATATATTTATTGCATATTCATGCTAGTAATCTATTTAGAGACCAGAATGGCGTATACTTTTTTATTTCATTTTTGAGTCATACATATTACATTTTTTATTTTGAAGATTTACAGTTTTCTATGTAATTTTATACTTGCTTCTTGCATATATTACTATGCTATCTGCGCAAAAAAAGAAATCCCCGAGGCCTGGCCCTAAAACAATAAATGAAGCAACCAGGCTCTTCTCTGGTTTAGCCGACCTCGATTTTGAGCCTGGTTATAATGATCATATATACTTTCAATATCTATCCAATAATAAAAATAATATCTCTCTTCTAGGCGCCTATCATCCTGAAGAGATTTATTCAAAATATATAGTTCAGGTGGCAGAGAAGGGTTTTACAGTTGTCGACCACCCATCTGAAGTTTATGAGTTACCTGATACTCATGAATGTATTGATGGGAGTCTGCCTCTCCGCCTAGTTCTGGATATTAATGCAAGGCAAAAGCCCGATCCTATGAACTCTGAACTCCCTTCCTTAGATAGATATAAAATTTCTCGTGAAGATTTATTATTCAGAATTTTAACTGCCTGCGTCAATATTATAAATACTGATTTAAAGCATTTTGCAATATTAGATGCTTTTGCCTTAGCCAGTTCGTCTAATTCTAATAAATGTAGCTGGCATATCGTGTATTCCCATGCTCATTTTATTGATTATAGAAATCTTAGGGGTTTTGTAGAAAAGGTCACTAATAAGATCAGAAAGCCATATTCAGAATTTATTGATATAGGATTCTATAAATCCCGCTTCAGCCTTCGACTTCTTGGATCAGCAAAAGAAGATAGAGTTAAAAGACCTGCAATATCTTCAGTTAAGAACGGGTATTGCAAGCTAGAAAATTATTTAGTTCAGCCTAAGTTAGATGCTTCTGAAATCTGGCCTTGAACCTTTTCTCCCGAGAAAGAAGAGAAGAAATTTCAGCCTATCAAAGATGAAACTGCCTTAAGTAACGGAGCCAGCTTAGTTATCACAAAATATGAATGGCTTGAGATCAGAAAAATTGGGAATGGATTTGTTCACTTTCAAGCCCAATTATATGAAGCATATCCTATTTGTGAAATCAAACACGAAAAGGATTAGTTATATGGCTTTCTTCGAAGTAATGGCTGTTTTGTACTCAAATGCTATCGGCAGAAAAATTATAAACCAGATCATAAGGGATTAGCGTTTGGAAAAGTGATCGAAATTTCTGCAAAACCTAAGTGAGGAATAGTCGAAAGAATAGGTGATGCTATATCAAATCCACACCCCCTTGTAAAATTATCAGAGACAATGATTAATGTAGAAAAATTAAAGGATGCTCCAGAAGTATATCCCGATTTCTTGGGTATTGAGAAAACGATAACACTTATTCGTTCTCCTCCGGGAACATGGAAAACCACTATATTAAGAGAGATTATTATGGCATTGAAAAATAAGATACATGATCTCTCTTCTTTGCCATGTTATATCTGGGTTTCTTACCGAAAGTCTCTTAGTAATGAATCAAAAATGAAACTTGATGAGCTAAAAGCATCTGGTTTTCGAATTTGCAATTATCAAAATATACAAGGAGACTTATCTATGAATGAGTAAGATATTATCATAGTACAGGTTGAGAGTCTTTTCCGTATCAAATTTACAGCCCGTCTATTTGTAGCTATTCTTGATGAAGCTAATGCCATTATGCGTCAAATGTCTAGCGGTACAAATGCACGAGAATCTGAGAACGCAATACGTGATATACTAAGATCTGCGAGACATGTTTTGGCCATGGATGCTTTTGCAAATACATCAACACTAACCTTCCTCCAGACTTATCGTGGTGAAAATATTTGCATAGTTGATAATAAGTATCAGCCTCATATAGGTGAGACAGTTGAATTTATTTATGATCTGAATAGCGGAGCTGAGGCCATGCGAATAGGATATGATCTTTTGAGGCAGGGCAAACGTGTAGCATTCGTATCTACTGGAACAGTGATGGCTAGAGCGCTAGTAGAAAAAGCATCTAAGTTGTCTAAACCCGACAATTCTCCTGTTAAAGCTCATGCATATTATGGGAATATGGATGGAAAGCAGAGACAAAAAGACTTTTCTAATATTGATGTTGCTTGGGGTAAGCTTGACTGTGTAGCTTACACAAATACAGTGGAGGCGGAAATATCATTTGAGGTTACAGGCCATTTTGATATAATTATAGCTATTACAAACATCACTACTCCAGTTCATGTTGAGGCTCTTGCGCAAATGCTTTATCGAATTCGTAACTATCCTCATTGTATTATTTCTGTGTTTTATCAAAAAAATTCTAATGAACTTTTTCGTTTACCGGGTCGTGAAAATATCTGAGCAGAACTTGAAAGTGCTCGACCTAATAATTTGCCTACATCAATAAAGGGTCACCGTGAATGGGATAGCAACGCCGTTTCTTATAAAATCGATGAATCTCCTGCTGTAATAACATTTGTTGAAGTTGAGCATCAGAAACGGCTTTCTGCGAGATATTTTATTGAAAAGCTTTGTAGTCTTATAGCTAGTACTGGTGCTTCTCTCCAACTTATTAAAATGGATGAGAGTCGAGGAGTTATAGGGAATCGCAAAAAAGTCCGCAATGAGGTTAGGGTTGAAGTACTAGTTATCAAGGAAACAGATTTTGATGTAGTTGCTACTTTTCAGAATCTCGATTCTGAAGAAGCTGAAAATCTTAAATTTGACCAAGAGCGCTCTATTCCAGATACTATGGCACTTAAACGTTTCTATATGCGAAATATTTATGGTAAAGATATAGACAATGAGATTTGGGATAATCTTTGCAATAAAAAGTTTGTAAAACATTTCAGTCCGCCCGAACCTTGAAAACATTTCTTGCGGTTATCTCACTTTAGAAAGTAAGGCTATGATGAGGAAAATGCAATGAAAGGGTTAGAGGCCAAAGATATTGCACAATGGGAAGATAGCCATTATAAAGCTGGATATAATTCTGAGAAATCAGTAGCAGAGGACTTGCACAAATCATATTCAGCTAATCATTGGAAAGTTATAGGGGGACTCTTTCAAATACTAGGCTTTACCGGCATAGATGATAAACGTATTCTTTTCAGTAATATAGTATCAGAAACATTCACACAATCCTGCGAGAGGTTTATAGAAGTCCTGGATCAATTTCTATTACTCTTTGAATTCAAGTCTCGTGCTAAGGTAATATCGGATCTTAATTCAGCTATAAGAGCAATTAATGCAATTGCTGGAAATTGGTGTGGCTATACTGTAAAGATAAATAGGAAAAAAATAGGACCTAAAGAAAAACAGGTTTGGGAACGTTCATATCAAATTAATCGGCAACCATATGATGGTCTTGGTTTTGAAGATAAAGGCGCTCCAGAACTTCCACCATATAAGTCAAAAACAGATAATGATATTCAGGAACTCTTTGATTCTATAGGGCAGAACAAATAATACTTCAGCCCAGATCGTTATTCAGTTAAGTCTTGACCATATTAGATTCTGTTTTAGTTTTTTTATTTTCGCGTCAGGCATGGTTATAAATTCCACCATGTGTACTACAGATTCTGGTCTTGAAATAGGTTCCCTGCTCACAGATAGGGCATATTGTTCTAAGAAGGGCATTATAATGTCTGACGCATCCTAATTCACTCATGCTTCCTTTCCCACAGATCGAACTATCTTTCTTGATGTATTGGCAAATAAAACGATCCATACGAGGTAATTTTGATACTAATAATCTCAAAACTTCATCTTCACTTTTATTATAGATATTCAAAAATGTAACATCCTCAGCAACTATAACTTCTGAGATATAATTGGCACCTTCGGCTAGGTGGGATATAATTTTTCAAATTGAACTTTTTTCCATGTAGTATAACTAAGTAATACTTACAATCTAGTTATTATTATCATGACTACTAAAACAAGCATCCCAAAGGGCCGACAGCCCAAAACTAATAACTATACTGCCATCTTAGACCAGCTCTTAAAAAAATATAACTTATCCGCTGAGTCGACTCCAGAACAGTTAAGCAAACATGCCAGTGAACTTGGTGTCTCACTTCCAGATTGGATGGCTCGCAAGTGTGTTAAAGATGCCCTTACTAGACGCAAATTTAGTAAAGAGCAAATAGAGGCTTTCATGTCAGATAAAAGAAAGGAAAAACTCACCATAGAGGAAAGAGCAAAATATTGTGCTAAGACTGGTGATAAGTGGGATATTTTCATTCATGCTCGTGACATAGGTCCAAAAAGTAATAACGATAAAGAAATTGTCGCCGGTTGTTCACGCCTCTCACTATTTCGTAACAAATTACAGGAGGCTGGTATTATACGTAAACTTATTGATACTTATGCCAAAGACCCAGATGTCACTACAGCTTCTAACAAAATTCAGAAAGAACAAACTGATCAAAATTTAGCCAATAATAGGTTAAAAAATCGACCACATTTCTCCTTAGAAAAGGAGCTTAAAAGGATTCAGAATATCGATACTACCAAAGATCCCTCTATGCAAGATCTTGCAGATGTAATGGTGATGTTATGTATGAGGCCGGCTGAAGTATCTAGCCTCCAGATCAATTACTATGAAGTTGACCCATCCAATCCTCTGGCATGGTATAAAAATGGTTATTCTTGGTATTATACTGGATATAAAAAGAATAAAGGTGAATATAAGGATAATCCAGAGCCTCGCCCATTCGTTTCTATGGAGAAGGATCCAGAACGTGTAAGAACATTACTTATCTGGATTCAAGAAGCTATAAAGGCTGGAAAGTTGAGTGATCCCACCTTTAGTGAAAATGGAAAGCGCAATACTAGATCATTTAGCCAGTTTCTGAAGCCTCATAAAATCACACCTAAAACATTAAGAAAAATAGGAGGTAAGCATGCTTGCAGAGTCCACGGTGGTCCAAACGCAATTCACCAGAATCTTGACCGGCTTAACAGAATCGCATTGAGACATAAGATCGTCCATCATGATGCGAAAAAGAATTATGCTATAGGCGATACAGAATCAGAAGATTCTGACCCTGAAGATGAGCACACCTCAGAGCCAGAATCAGAGTCTGAAAATACACCAAGTCCGGAACCTCAGACTTCATCGTCTCAGCCTAGCCCTAAAAATGATGACTATAACCCTTTCAAGGGACAAATAGCAGAAATTGATTCAATGTTAGCTGGTTTCTAAAATTATATAACTAATATCTAATATTATCAATATGTATAGCTACTAGCAACGTGCCTTTGGCAAATTTTGTTAGGTCCATCATCAATATGCGAAAAATTTAGCAAAGTGCCAAGTCCGAAGCAGGCCGAAGATGCTTTGCATAATAGTGTAATTTTATTTTTTGTTTAAAGATACAGCATATATTTTTTATGGCGCAATCAAACATCTTTTATTTACCAGAACTATTAGAATATATTTTACATTTTTTAGCGATAGATAAATCCCTCTATCACACTCTATATGTTTCCTGATTGTGGTACAGATGTGGTGCTCCTATTCTATGGAGACGCATAGAGCTAAAGGGAAATGAAGTAGATGATAAATTTCGATTGGAAAGATTTTTAAAAATAGTACCTGGAGGAGGAAGAAAACCAGTTTATAGTTCGAAACTAACTCATCTTAAAATAACATACTACCCTGCACTTTCAAATAAAAAAATCAAAGGCATTATACATACTTTCCAAAATATAATTCATTTAGATTTCGAAGGAAGTACGGACAGTATAGGTAAAGTTCTAAAGCTAATAGCAAAATCATATCCAAATTTGGAGTATCTTAATATATCTGCTTTACGTTTAAGATTTAAATCAGAAAATGATATAGGTTTATCTGCAATTGCAAATTTATGCCATAGATTAGAATATCTAAATATTTCTAATCGCACTGAATTTTCTGAAATATCAATTTGTAATGTTATTCGCTCTTGCCTAAGGCTCCAGCATCTTGACCTTAGCTTTTGTAAAATTAGCAATATAACTATCGAAGAAATTGCCAGATCATGTCTTAATTTAAAATATCTTAATTTGAGGGGGTATTATAAAATTAGTAAAGAAGCCGTAGATCAGCTTATTTCACTTAATCCAAATATTAATATCGAGAATTTTGTGAATACTATAACGCCTCTCGATCTCATTGGAGCAGTTAGAAATCATCTTATACAGAACAATGTTTCTAGTAGACAGATTTTAGCTCAGGGTCTTCAGCGCCTCTTAGATTTAAGTATGCGAGATAATTTGCAGTGGTATTCCGATCCAGGGTTGGCTAGATCAATAGTCCGAAGCAGTGATCATTAATTAGATTTTTGCTGGGCCACATGCATGTACAGTGCTTCTGTACAACAAAAAATATAGATCATCTAACCTGTTCTAGACATGGGCATTGGTCTGTGCTAGCCAAATTTTTTACGAAAATTTTGTGCAATTGTTGAGGAGTGACCTTCGGAAATAATGGTAGTTCCTCTCCAGTAAACATAATTTTCTTTACCCCCATTTTACCATATTTTGGTAATATCACACCTGGATCATCTTCTAAGGGACCGTGAAATTCCTCAAGCTTTTGGAGTTGTGCTCTTACATTCTCATCAATTTCTTTTGCCCTTTCTTGATTAGAATAACCAATAATACTGAGTTCATTCTGAATTGCTATTATGTCCTCTTCCAGGTATAAAAGCAAATCAAATAATCTAATTGGTTTATCCGAAGAGGCTTTATCCCTTCTAAGTTCTACTTCTAGAACAGGATTACCATCAATGTTGAGTTTGTCCTGTATCAGAATTAAATCCCCTACCAATTCTAACAATAGCTTGTAAGAATCAGCAAGTGTTTTCCCCATAAGCTCGGAAACTGGAGGTACTACCAACTGATTTGCATTCCCACCAATACTGAGTTTTTCCTGAATAGCTATTATATCTTTCTTCTTATATAAAAATACTCCATATAATTGAGCAACTGTTTCAGGATCATTATTTGCCATGATTGCTATAATAAAGTAATATATTTAATGTAGAAATTTTAGCGAAGTGCCTTAATGGCCGAGTCCGGAATACTGATCATCATCTCAGAGCAGTGATCACCAGTTCAGAAGAATTTGCTGAGCTACAGATTGTGCGACAAAAAATAAGTAGATCATCAGTCAGGTCTTGTGCGACAGCCGTTAAGGCGCTAAAGCATATTAATTTTTGCATATATTCATGCTAACTACTACCTCTATTTTTTTCCCCAAACAATCATGAGAAAATGTGAAAGAATGTCTACAAGCAACATAGGACCTACTGTAAAAGTAAATATTAACGTCAAAAGCATATGTTATGAAGGGCTGAGGGACTCGCAATTTCGAGATCTATAAGAACTAACTACCTTAGCATCTCTCCGGTAGATCTAGAGTTCTGAATGAGTCGAGTCGAGTCGAGTTTAAAGACCAACTCTATTCGACTCATTTTTTTCGAGTCGAGTCG